AGGTACACATAAGTATAATTAACACATTGTGTTAATTACCTAGGATAACCCAAAAAAAGTCAGTGACTTATTTCCACTGGGGTCCTCAGGGGAACGTATTAAATCACTTTAGATGAGTTTCGCCCAATAGGATTCTAGCAGCCCCTGGTGAGCGAAACGTATCTACCGGGAGGGTATTCCGGGGTTCAACGCCCCCGAGGCTAAGTCCTTGACCAGGCTTCCCGGTGGATCAGGACCTGATCAACCAGGCTGTTACTGCTGGCCACATGTCCAACGTTAGAACCACAGCCTGGCTGTGGTTCCCTCTTGAAGGCTGCCATGCGTCTACTGGTAATGCCCCTTATGCCTGGTGGGAAGCTGTTGAACAGTCTTGGGCCCCGAACACTTACTGTGTTTTCTCGTAGTGTATTTATGGCACTCCTACTTTTCACTGGGGGTGTCCTCAATGTTGAATACCCGCATATATTACACAACGTTACATACATTAGCTCTCCAAAGTTTTCTTAATTTCATGGGAGGAAAGGCGTAGTGTGCCTTAATGCTGGTGAAAGCTCTTGATCCAAGGAACTGCAGTTCCCCCCCTTTCGTCCGGTGGTAAACACAGCAACCACTAAGAACAGTCGCAATACCGTGGCTGGAACAATTTCTCAAAAACCCGCGCACGTAGGAGAGGAACCATTTGACGACGTTTCGCTCAGTCTTAGACCGCAGCCAAGTCGCAACTGCCTTGGATCAAACCTATTATTACCTACAACTGTCCATGCACTATGGCCTCCGTAATTACGGGATTAGCGTTACCCCGTGAATATACAATAGCATATTATTATTAGCTTCTACGAGGTAATCTTCGTTAACCATTAAAATATAAACTAACTTAAGCTCTGATAAACTATGTCTGGCAACAAGGTTACTGAATACAACCAGGAAGATTGTGATGTGAACGAGTATCACTCGTGGTGTGTGAGTGGGTCGGGCAAGGCACCAGGCTCCATCATGCTGCCATATAGTGTTTGTTTATTCTCTGCCCGGGTGCCACGAGGCACACACCTGCCTAATTGACTCCCGTTCTCCCATTGCCACGCCAACTTCCTGTGTTTTTAGTGGTAAGTTCTTACAGATTTTCGATTCACCACCACTGTAATTTCTCTTTTTGTCCTTTCATAGCAATATTAACACACACACACACACACACACACACACACACACACACACACAGGAAACACATTCCTATCCTTCATTGCTTGAGGCTGTTCTACTTTCATTGTCTTCCTGGAATAAGTCACAATACCTTGTCTGCAACAATTCACAACTCAACGTCATCTAAAGATTTATCTACAATTTGTGGGTTAATCGTGAATCATCTTTTACATGTAACTGTATATACGGTTACAGAGGCTTGTTACTGATATAACTTACGAATGTAACATTTGCCTACTGGCCTCTCTGTCTTCAATAACTTAAATAGTAATACTGTGGGTTCTTTATAAATATACGTCTATAAGAAAATATATAAAATCAACAGCAATAATAAAACAAAATTTCAGCTATACTAACCTATCCTTCAGTATGGAAAGACCCACATGAATTCGGTACGTGCATTTCCCCCCAAAAAATATATTTCTTCTCCGTCATGTTAACTTACTTTGCAGTCGGTTACCGTATCGTATATAAACATATATTTTCGCATAATTGCCAGACGAGGCTTTAGATTTTTCCTACATTACGTTTAGTCTCTTCTCAAAGGTGAGGGTCCCCCCAAATAAGACAGAGATGGAACTTTCCTGTATCTCTTTATTTCCAGACAATAACGACATTATAAAAGACGGTAGAGTCAGGCACAATACGAAAACCTCGTAAATTAATTTTCACACTCACGGTAACTAATGTGGAGGACGGGGGTGAAACTGAAAAAAAACTCACCCTGTACCTGATTCCACTTAACTATTACTAAAAAACCCCAGCAGCCACTGAAAGCAATACAAATGGTATTTACAGCCCGTGTTGTGAGGATGGCTGTAGTGTTGTGAGGATAGTTGTATCGTGTTGTAAGGATTGTTCTACCGTGCTGAGGATTGCTGTAGTGTAGTGAGGATGGCTGTACCATGCTGTGAGGATGGTTGTACCATGCTGAGGATGGTTGTACCATGTGAGGATGGTTGTACCGTGTTGTGAGGATGGTTGTACCATGCTGAGGATGGTTGTACCGTGTTGTGAGGAAGGTTGCACCTGTTGTGAGGATGGTAGCACATGCTGTGAGGAGGGGTTGTACCTGCTGAGAGATTGTACCGTGTTGTGAGATGTTGTACCATGTTGTAGGATGGTTGCACCATGCTGTGAGGATGGTTGTACGTGTTGTGAGGATGGTTGTACCATGTGAGGATCACAACATGGTTTGTACCCTGTTGAGGCAAGTTCTATCGTCTTGACGATGGTTGTACAGTGTGGTAAGGATGGTTTGTATAGTGTTGCGAGGATGGTTGTAGTGTTGCGAGGAGGTTGTACATTATTGCGCGGATGGTTTCCCAGTGTTGCGGGGATGGCTGTAATATTGCGAAGATGGTTGTAGAGTCGTGAGGATGGTTTACAGGAATTGCGAGAGATGGTTGTAGTTTCGTGAGGATGGTTGTAGTGTTGGGTGCATGGTTGTGCAGGGGTGTGAGGATGGTTGTACAGTGTTTGCGAGGATGGTTGTACAGTATTGTGAGGATGGTTAATTGTTTGGGGAGAATGGTTGAAGTGTTGTGAGGATTGTAATGTCTGAGGATGACTGTAGTATTGTGAAGATGGCTGTACAGTGTCGGAGAAAGGATGTAGTGTTGTGAGGATGGTTGTATTCGTGGGGATGGATTAGTGTCGTGAGGATGGAATGTACAGTGTCGTGAGGATGGATGTACAGTTCGTAGGATGGATGTAGTGTCGTGAGGATGGATGTACAGTGTCGTGAGGAAGGATGTAGTGTCGTGAGGATGGATGTACAGTGTCGTAGGATGGATGTAGTGTCGTGATGGAGGATGTTACAGTGTCGTGGGGAAGGATGTACAGTGTCGTGAGGATGGATGTAAGTGTCGTGAGGATGGATGTAGTGTCGTGAGGATGAATGTACAGTGTCGTGAGGATGGATGTAGTGTCGTGAGGATGGATGCAGTGTCGTGAGGATGGATGTACAGTTCGTGAGGATGGATGTAGTGTCGTGAGGATGGATGTACAGTGTCGTGAGGATGGATGTAGTGTCGTGAGGATGGATGTACAGTGTCGTGAGGATAGATGTAGTGTCGTGAGGACGGTTGTATAGTGTCGTGAGGATGAATGTAGTGTCGTGAAGATGGATATACAGTTTCGTGAGGATGGATGTACAGTGTCGTGAGGATGTGCAGTCTCGTGAGGACGGTTATACAGTGTTGTGAGGATTATAGTGTCGTAAGGATGGCTGTAGTGTCGTGAAGACGGTTGTACAGTGTCGTGAGGATGTACATATGTATGTACAGTGTTGTGAGGACGGTTGTACAGTGTTGTGATGATTGTACAGTGGTGGCTACTTGTTAATGGATTTCACCCCTCATGCACCGTCGAGCCGGCAGCTCTCAATATAAAAAAAAATCAGGCAACCAGGCATGTTTAGTAAATATGTCAGAAAGACGAAAGAGCAGTATAAAGAAGCCATGTAGCAACAACTGTACACATCTTGTATGGAAAAAAAGAAGAGATTCAACATATTCTGCTTCAAGATATTCTTGGTAAGACTGAGTCCTGCTGAATCATGTCTAATTGTCCCTATGTCGAGTTAGGTTCAATTAAGTTAAATTTGGGTAAAGTTGGATAGGGTATCTTAGTTTAAGTTAGGTTAGATTAAGTTTGAGTAAAGCTGGGTAGGGTGTCTTAGTTTGTTAGGCTAGAATAGGTTTGGGTAAAGTTGGGTAGGGTATCTTAGTTCAGGTTAGGTTTGGGTAAAGTTGGGTAGGGTATCTTAGTTTAAGTTAGGTTAGATTAGGTTTGGGTAAAGTTGGGTAGGGCATCTTAGTTTAGTTTAGGTTAGGTTAGGTTTGGGTAAAGTTTGGTAGGGTATCTTAAATTAGGTTAGGTTAGGTTTGGGTAAAGTTGAGTAGGGTATCTTAGTTTAAGTTAGGTTAGGTTAGGTTTGGGTGAAGTTGGGTAGGGTATCTTAGTTCAGGTTAGGTTAGGTTTGGGTAAAGTTGGGTAGGGTATCTTAGTTTAGGTTAGGTTTGGGTAAAGTTGGATAGGGATCTTAGTTTAAGTTAGGTTAGGTTTGGGTAAAGTTGAGTAGGGTATCTTAGTTTAGGTTAGGTTAGGTTTGGGTAAAGTTGAGTAGGGTATCTTAGTTTAAGTTAGGTCAATAGTTAGGTTTGGGTAAAGTTGGTAGGTATCCTAATTAGGTTAGGTTTGGGTAAGTTGGGTGCGGGAAATCTTAGTTTAAGTTAGGTTCAATTAGGTTAGGTTTGGCTAAAGTTGGGTAGGGTAACTTAGTTTAGGTTAGGTTTGGGTAAAGTTGGGTAGGGTATCTTAGTTTAAGTTAGGTTCAATTAGGTTAGGTTTGGGTAAAGTTGGGTGCGGTATCTTAGTTTAAGTTAGGTTTGGCCGACCAGACGTGGACGCGATTTATACAAATTGACCATCATAATAAAACCAATGACGTCAAATTAGTTTATTCAGGTACAAGTACACGTAAGTACAATTATCGTAGTGTAAATTACTTACGATAACCCCCCAAAAAAGCCAGTGACTTTTTTCCAATGGTATCCTTGTAAGCAAAGAGTATAACACAAATAACTAGAATCTGAACGATTTTACATTTCAACATACACACCAAAAATGACTAATTTTTCAAGTCACGAATTCAAACTTTGATTTTCACTTCATTTCAATTCTAAGAAAAGATAACCAAGAAACTATTAGTGTATTATCATAATAATGACCCGGGAACGTAACACAAATCATACAACAATCTGCAGGTGTATTTGAGTTCCTACTAGAAGGCACCGTACCTACACTTTTATTGGAATTTCTTAAAAAAATAGAAGATTTTTCTATGTAACTCTACGGAGAACAGAGGAGCACATCCTCCCTTGACACTGGCTGAGAGAACACTGCCACCTTCCTCCCAGACGCTGTAATACTAACTTCCTTGTCATCACTTCTCGTAAGTTATCAAATACTATCTCCTCTCTCAACCTTATCACCCATAAACCAATTACTCTATAGCGAAAGTAAGTTTTTGGTAAGTAATCTAAAAAATTACTAATATATATATATATATATATATAAATATATATATATATATATATAATATATATAATATATATATATAATATATAATATCGTTATATTTACTATGCAAGACAGGCTACTTGGCTACACGTTATGGATTATAGCCACTTCATCCGACATTGAATCACATATGTTTCGTCTGGTATAAACACAAGAGCTTTGCTGGTAACTAGGTGGTGGGTGAGACAGTCACTGAGTGGTGGCACATGGGTGGGGCACATTTGACCATACAAATATTAGATCTCTCTCTCGTCTCTCTACTCTCTCACACACATAGCGTTCCTGGTCACACCAGAGTGGCTGGTCAGACCACATATGTAGCTGGTCAGACACACTATGTAGGTTGGCAGGACAGACACACTATGTAGTGTTGGCTGGTCCCGACACAACACCTAGTATTTTCATTTTCCCAAGTGGGTGCGGAGGGGGTGTCCCTGATGCTGGGGAAGGGTTCTTGATCTAAAACGTTGCCTGCCCTGCTTCCCTGCCTTGCCCTGCCTTGCCCTGCCCTGCCTTGCCCTGCCTCAACTCAAGACTTCATTACACAATGCATTATATAAACTCGACGGGTTTAAGGCTTCATAAAAACAAGAAATAGTTTTACACAATTCTGGTTTTTCCCTTTATGGGATACCTATCCTATCACAAGTGATATTACTCCGCTTGTGAATTTTTTTTCTCTCTTTAAATATTAGAAAAAAATCGTTAGAAAATTGCTTACTTTTAATTTTTTTTGCTTTAAAAATTGTTTGTTTAATTTTTTGTTTGCTTTATTTTGTTTACTTATATTTTTTTTGTTTGCTCTAAAAAAAATATTTGCTAGAAAAATCCTCTTATCCCACCATCAATTTCCCACCACAGCCACGAGTCTCGGTGCAGCGCACCAAAAAGTGCCTTGTGTTGTTGTCGGATGTCTGTCTCTCTAACACGTCAGTCCTCGACTTACTACCGTTCACAGTCTGACTGCCACCACCCTCATCTTCGCTATCAAGAACTCCACTGCTGGGATAAGCCCTGGCTTGCTTTCTATGACCGAAGACAATCCTCTCAGACGTTATTCTTCGCCTATTCCCACTCTCTTCTTACCCGAGAGTTAATAGTTAGCTTTACCGTCACTGAAGCTAAGAAACTAACACAAAACCTCAAACTTACTTCTCCAGGCTGAGGGGGGGACTGATAACCTCATCCTCACGACTTCTACAAACATCAAAAGTGGTTATAATCATAACCCACTTCAGACCATCCCAAAAAATGTAGCGACCTCCTGTCTAAAGGAGTATGTCGTTCTTCTTCCTGTACTTTCTTTCACCTAAAAATGTGCCACTCCTCGGTCCTCCAGAAGCAGTGTTACAACATCGAGTGCCCTGCATACCATCTAAAAGGGACCAGGAGGCACAGACCCCACAAGACAAACAATAGTAGCTACGACAACCCAACTCCAGGTGATTTTTTAGTGGCAGGAAACGAAAAAAGAAAATGGAAGGAAATAACAAAAATAGTCCACCACCTTGGAGCCTTGTTGGACTGGAGGCGCAGCCAGTGGCCACCCATGGCCCTCCAGAATTACAACTACTGATGCCATAACAAAATTCCCCCAACAAACACAGAATACAACCTCGTTCATATTTGCTAATATACAGGGCCTTAAGCCATCCACCAAAAACAAAATACCTTTTATCAGTGGACTTCTAGTGGAGTCTAATGCAATGTTTGCAGTCTTCACAGAGACTCACACAAAAGATCACTTGACAGTGAAATATGGATAAGTGGTTACAACCTTTTTAGATGCGACAGAAAAAACAGGCAACAAGGGGGGTTGGCCTGTATGTCAAAGAGTCCCTTATCTGCACGGAGTTGCTGAACACCACAAATGAGGTAGTTGAAGTTCTAATCAATAAAGATCGAGAACCAAAACCTAATCATTGTGGTTGTATACAAGCCACCAGATGCAACCTCCCAACAGTTCAAGGAACAGCTACTAAAATCGATTATGTTTGGGAAACCTTCCAGCTCCACCCCCAAAACATCTTACTGCTTGGTGATTTCAACCTAAGGCATACAAAATGGAAGAATGTAGCAAAATGTTATAGCTGAAACAATCCCCGGGGGAAAGCCAAAATGAAAGGTCACACACACATGAGCTACAAAGTCTCTGCGAAAAAACACACCTTAAGCCAGCAGATAGTGGAGCCAACAAGCTAAAAACACACTTGACCTTATCTTCACAATAATGAGGCCTGATAAGAGACATAAGAATATCAAAAACAACTAATTCCGATCACAATCTAATCGAAGTCCAGACGTACATGCTAGGGGTCCTGAACAGCAGATGCATGTACCTGTGAAGGTTTTCTTCACAAATACAATTTCAACAACAAGAACATCAACGGGGACCAGGTAAACCATGTCCTAAACGAAACATGTTGGAAGATGTCTTAAATGACATGGACCCAAAACCCAGTGCCTTGAAAGGATCAATTTCCCTGGTAGCCGAAGCATGTTCTAGGCTATTCCCCTAAGAAAGAAGAAGAGCAGGAGTAAACTGGAAGAAAAAGACGCTCCCTCTACAGAAGACGACGAAGAGTCACTGAGCTCCTCAGGAGTGCTAGAAAAATCTGATACCGAAAGGGGGGCGCTGACCAGGGAAGTGGAAACTACGAACTTAAGCTAATGACTCTTACAGGAACCAGGAGGGCAGGAGGGGCTTAAAGCTATTAGTGAAATTGGAAAGAAATTCAAAATATTTCTTTTCATATGCCAAAACAAGGCAAATACCAATCTAGTATGGGCCCTTACTCAGACAGGATGGGACTTACACAGACGACAACAAAGGAAATGAGTGAAATATTGAAATCCCCGTACGACTCTGTGTTTTAGTGAACCAATAATCGTCTGAGGATCGACGGACCCAAATGATTTCTTCATGAATGAGCCTCAAAACTCCATAAATGTAGCCAGATTTCCGACATTACCTAACTCCGATAGATTTCGAAAAAACATTGACAACATGCCTATGCACTCAGCCCCCGGGGCCCCGACTCGTGGAACTCTGTTTTTTATTAAGAACTGCAAGAAACCCCTCTCCGTGCCCTAAGTACACTATGGAGGAGGAGCTTGACATGGGTGAAATTCCACCAGTCACTTAAAACAACGATATTCCCACTCCATAAAGGTGGCAGCAAAGCATTAGCTAAGAACTATAGACCAATAGCTCTGCGCCCACATCATAAAAATCTTTGAAAGAGTGCTAAGAAGCAGGGTTGGGAAATCACCTGGAATTCCCAAAATCTGCACAATCCAGGGCAACATGGGTTCAGGGGGAGGTCGCTCCTGCCTCTCACAATACTGGTCCTTGACATGGCTTGGATGCAACTGAAGAAATCAGAATGCAGTGTATTCACAGACTTGCAAAAAGCATTTGACAAATTTCGATCATGGCGTAATTAGCCCATAAAATACTGCTAAAGGAATTTAACTGGAAAGTGGGGAGATGGGGTCTTCAACTTCCTAACAATCGAACACAAAAAGTAGTGTCAAAAAGTTAAATCGG